TACATGCATATGTTTGAACACATGGGAGCAAATGTATGTGTGAACGCTGGGAATCTTTTCTATTAGGGAGGAGGAGAAGGAAAAGAAGAAACTGAGCAGCATTTCCACAAAACTTTTGGCAGAATGGACTGAATAATCCAAACTGTGGATGGCCCAACTTATTAGTCAATACAATTTCTTGGGGGGCGGGGGGATGAGGGTAGACAAACTAGTTCATTTGCCTATTCACTTTGAAAAAAAATGCAATCAGCTTTTATGGAAAAAAACAGCAACCATGTTTGGGTTTTCTTCTCATCAAGAATTCACTTAAAGCATTTCTGACAATAGCGAAGGAAAGAAGAACAGGGAAGAAAAAAAGCACACCATGCATTCCTTATGCTAACAAAGAGAAAGCCAAAGAATGCTTTCTTCGTGTTTACAGCATTAATACCCATGTGCTTCTTACAATAGAAACCAAAACAGAATCTCCATTTCAGGTCCACAAAGGTTTAAAAGTAAACTAATCAGTACAGATGTAGCAAGGAAATACTATGTTTTGTCGAGCACAAAAAACAAGGTTAGAATAGAAGTCACCAAATGTTTGGGAACAGCTCCCTACTATGACCTGGGAAAAGGAAGTCCAGCGACTCCTTTACAATCCAGGAAACACTATGACTCATCACGTGTGCAGACTTAAGAGTTCAAGATCCACGGGAGGACTGGGGAAATAATTTCCCGAGGCAGATTTTTCATCTGAGGCCAGACACATCTGACTCCCTTAAATACAGCCCAAAGACACAAACGCAAAAGGGGGGTTATCGCCCTTCCTATCACGATGGTGCAGTCCAGCCCCTGTCCTTGCTTAGAGGGGGCTGCTGCTGGCACAGCCTGCCCAGAGGACCACACCTGCTCCTCTCTGACGGGCCTACTACGGTGACTCTGTCTCCCCCAGGCAGGCAGCTCAGTGGTTCCCACTGAATAAACGCTAACGGAACTAAATCATAGTCTCTCTGAGCGTTGGTCTCCTCATCTAGAAAATGATGGCTTTTCAGCCTTTTCCACAGAGATGTCCTAAGGCTCCAACAAACTAATGCGGATGAGAAGACCTTTGTAACAGGGAAAGGGACACCCAACTGTAAGGGGCGCCATCCAGTAAGTGGGCACCACGTTCGATGCAATGATTGAAGGGACGCAGACAAGCACAGAGACCCAGCTGGGCGGAAATGGCTTCTGATCAAACCTCACAGCAACTGGTAGTGCACAAAGATCTAGGACAATCAGTCAATCGTCTTGGAATCCTAGTTCAAAGAAGCAAGGATAGTCCCTCGGTGCTCCTAGAGTGAAAGCTTCACAGGAAGAGATACCAGTCTGTCTTCTCCATCAAAAGACCCCCAGAGCTGGGAACATGCACATCTGATGAATGGATGAGTCAGAGACAGAGATGTGAGTACCCAGGAGTGCCAGACTCGAACCCAGAGCAGGCAGAAGGGGCCTGGCTAGCCTCAAGCCTCACAGACACAGATACACAAGCCTCTAGCATCTTCAGTGGGAAGTCCATCAGGAAGTCTATTGACTTCCTCTTACTTCCAAAGCCCCGGAAAGCTCCTAAATGAGGCACCATGGTCCAGGGAAGAGAGCACAGGCCCAGGAGCTCAGTCAGACAAATCTAAATTCTACTCTGGACAACACAACTCACCCACCTGACGGCCTCTCCTCAATGTGGTTAGCAGAACCTGCTTCCCAGGGCTGATAGAAAGATCCAAGTTGGTAATACATGCTAAGTCACTATGTACAACCCCGGGACATAGTAAACACGAAACAGGTCATCAGACCCTCCTTCTGGGTGAAGGAGGAACTAAATCCCGTTAGAGGATACAAAATCCCCCTAACTCAAATCTTTAGTCTTAGAGCAGAGAGAGAGCCAAATTTCCCTTTGGGCCCAAATTTGGGTAGAAGTGGGATAGTCATCTGGACAACACAATGAGAATTAATAGCCTGGTGAAAAAGACCTGCTACATTACCATCCATTTCTCTAAAACTGTAACTAAAGTCATCTTTAGAGCACATGACCTCTATTCTTTGAGGCAACAATGGGCCAGGTCAAGGTCTGTCACACCCAGCTAGAATCAGGATTTGGTGACAAGAATTCAGAAATATGCAGAGTAAGACTGTGACGTTGTGGCAGATTCTTTGGAAGGAGAAACAAATCCCAGAAGTCATGCTTTCAGGGAAGGCATTTTGTTGGCACAGGTAAGAAAGTAGGAGAAACAGAGGCATTCTTATACTGAAAGAATGAACTTCTTCATACCTTCGAGAATGTTTGCTCAGAAATCAGCAGTGCTATTAGCAATTGCACACGTGAAAAAACACAGCCCGACTTCCTGTGAGCCCCAATGACCTCTCCACAGCAGCACTTGGGCACACTCCATATTTACTTATGGTGCAATCTGATCCTGACTTCGGTGAGTTATTTCATAAGCCTTTTAAGGGTTACTACATTTTGTTCCTATAAGAGGCCAATCCAAATTAGCAACAAAAGAATAGTTAAACACAAGGAAAACCACCTCTTTTGTGCTCCTCAAGAAAGGCAGTGTTGGTCATTAAAAAGGCAAAGTGTGTTTTATTCTCTATCAACTTTCTCTTACAAAAATCGGTCCAGTAATTTTCCAGGGTGGGGAGGGGATTAGTAGTCCTCCACTCATACCTGTTTGAAAATGAGGAGTCGAAAGGGTATACGCATAAGAGCAAGTTATCTGGCATTTGGTTCTGGGCCATGTCCTGTAGAAAGCATTCCAACTATCAAATGCTGCACAACATACTATTCCTCCAAAACTTAGCATCTAAAGATGACCATTTTATTTTCCATCTTTTCTCTGCTCTTCTGACTGGATGATTCCTACTGTCCCATCTCCAAGCTCACCGACTCTTTACTCTGTCATCTCTACTAAGTCGTCAAACTCATTCAGTAAAACCTAAATTTTATTTTGGATACTCTATTTTTCAATTCTAGATTTTCCATTTGGTTGTCCTTTTGGTGTCTATGTCTCTGCTGACTATCTTTTCATTCATTAGAAGCATATTTTCCTTTACATCCTTGGGCATAGTTAGAGTTGCTTTCAAATCTGTCTGCTAAACCCAACATCTGTGTCACTGTAGTCTCTGCTGATTATCTTTTTTCTTCTCTTGGAGAATGGGTCATATTTTCTTGTGCTTAAAGTAAGCTCGAATTGTATCCTGGACATTGTGAATACTATGCTATGGAAACTCTGGATTCTATTATATCCTTCTAAAGAATGCTGACATTTTTATTTTCGCAGGCAATTATCTTGATTGGAGTTACACTGTCAAATCTGGTGCGGCAGCTCAAAACTCAGTACAATTCTTTTATCCTTAGCTTAGCTGCTTGAATCCTGCCCTACATGTGTGATTCAGGCATCCGCATGGATTCAGACAGCTGATACACAGAATTTGGGGCCTGTTTTCTCCTTCCCAGGAGTCCCTCCTTCACTTTCCAATGGCTGTGCTTCCTCCAAACTGTCCATTTAATCTTTAAGATGAAAGGAGTGCAGATTTTCTTTTAGAGTTTTAAGTGTCCTACAGACCACACGCTGCACCGCTCTTTCCTTCCAAGGGGCAATTCAATTCCAAAATCGCCTGTTTGTGTCAAATTTGATTATTTTCACATGGCTGTCTTTTGTCCAGAGTTTGTAATTATTATTTGCAGGAGGTTCAGTCCAACAGCAGCTTACAGGACCATTAACAGAAGCAGAACCCACACTACTTATTTTTTCCCCAATTTTGGATTATTCCTCATAATCTTGTGGGTCACAAATTCAGAAAGGGCTCTGTCAGGCAGGCTGTCCCTGATTCACATGACATCAGCTGTGCAATTAGGAAACTGAGCTTGGAACTAAGGAAGCGCGTTAACTACCTAGAAAACTTCCAAGATGGTCTCCTGCTCACATGTCCACTGCCTTGGTATTCCCTGACCCATCTCTCTCTCTCTCTCTCTTCATTACATCTCACCCTCCAGGGCTTCTCTCCATGTAGACTGAGCAAATCACGGCACAGTGATCTCAGGGGATCTGCACATCGGACATGGTTAACCAGCTTTGACGAGGCTAAAAATGGAATCTGCCAGACCAGTCAAGGGCTCTATCAAAAATGATACAAGATCACTCCCACCACATGTGATTATTCACAGCAGTCACAGAGTTTTTTCGTCATCCGGACTGAAGAAAATGGAGAAACAAATGCTAATCCTTGATGGGAGAATGGCAAAGTCCTATTGCAGGTGTGTTTCTGCAGCCATCTTGGAAAAATAGAATCTGCCACATATATATTTATGAAGCAAAACAAATGCCACCCAAAGAAAAGCTCTAGGAAAATACAGGCAGGCTAGTTCAATGTTAAGCATGTGGTCCAATTCTGCCATCTTTTTTATCACCTTCTCATGTTATCAATAGAGTGACCTCTAACCTATTCAGCACAAAAGAGGTTTCCAATGGCAGTCTATTGAGTTTCTAAAGATTTAATACTTAAATACTGTATCAATTTCAAAACAGAAGAAATGCTTATGATGCTATCATCCATAAGTGTAGGTCAAGATTAAAGTTTTGTTTGTTTTTTATTAAGATAATGGTCCATAATAACTATTTATTAAATGTCTATCATGTGCTTGAAAATTTCTAGGCACTTCAAATACCTGTTTTTATTGACTGCTCTCTACATGATATAAGATATGCACTGGCTTAGACAAGCATTGACAATTTATGAGAAAGGAGACTGGCTCAAACACACTAAGGACAAATACAATGCAAAATCACAAAAATACAAATCCTGATATAAACAAACGTGACCTAGGACGCGTATCTGTGGGAATATGCGCACACACGTATTATTTCAAGCTACCTTCTAAACACTCAAACTATCATTCCAGCAACTGTATATATTCTAAATTCTAAATATCACATTCTAAATGAAGCCCTATATATATGAAACATGTCGAGAAATAATCTTACCTTGTCTTGGTTGTCTTTATTCTTGTAACACAGATTTCCGATCAGACGGATGAGATGAGACTTAAAGCCCTCAGCCATATTTGAGATGTCACCCTCTGCTCTTACGCAGCCACCGCTACTGAAGATGTTTGCGGTGTCATTGCCAGCTACATGAATCAGTCGTAAAAGGTCTACAACGAAAACAGTTTTATTTTCCATAAAAAATTTTCAGTATTTTGTACTGACCTTCCATATACAAATCTAATTTACATTAATGGACTAAAATAAAATAAAGGTAGAGTACCTTTAATGATTAGAAAACTCTTCTTTTGCTTGAAATTTTTTCATGACTCTGGTTTTGGGGAGATAAGCCATAATGATTATCCCAACCTGGACTTTCTATTTATCCACAAAGAAAAGTTAGCTAAAAATTTTCTGCCATCTTTCTTTCTTTTTTTTTTTTTTAAAGATTTATTTATTTATTTGAGAGATAGAGTATGTGTATGCACATGCATGTGTGTGAACGAGGGGAGGGGCAGAGAGGAGGCAGACTTTCCACTGAGCCACGGAGCCTGACACGGGCTCGATGCCCCAGCCAGGAGATCATGACCTGAGCCAAAACCAAGAGCCGGACACCTAAGCAACTGAGCCACTCAGGTGCCTTCTGCAATCTTTCTTATAAAGAGGTTTCCGATCCCAAATTCTTTATGAAGGAACTCATGTGACAACTACAGTCAGCTACGTCTAAAATACAATCCACACTCATTCTGTAATGAGCCGTATGACAAAAACCAAGAAGTAGGTTGATTTTTTTTTTTCTCACTGTCCAGATAATCGGAAGGCAACATGTACTCTCCATAAATCTAGTCTGGCTATATTCAAAAGAGGAAAAATTATTATGCTCTATGAAATGCCTCCAGTCAGCATATGAAAATAGATCATCTTCCAGAAGCTATACTTAAGTGTTTCCACGTTATCCCATTTAACACTCTTAACAAACCTATTAAAGGCAAGTACCGGGATGCCTGTGTGGCTCAAGTTGGTTAAGCGTCTGCCTTTGGCTCAGGTCATGATCCCAGGGTCCTGGGATCAAGTCCTACATCGGGCTCCTTGTTCAGTGGGGAGTCTGCTTCTCCCTCTGCCTGCCACTCCCCCTGCTTGCGTGCTCTCTGACAAATAAAATCTTAAAAAAAAAAAAAAAAAAGCAAGTATCACTTTCTCAATTTTATAATGAAGAAATCAAGCTCAGAGAAGTCAGTAATTTGGCAGAGTTGGGATGACCAACCCATGTCTGCCCTGGATCCAAACACACACGTTTTTCTAAAAAGATTCTGTTTCCTAGGTTTGTGGTGTTTTATTTTAATTACCACTAAAAGCACTGCACTCAAAATAAAACACTCACATGAGATTCTAAACACCTTCTATAGCTCACTGCTGACTCATCTACCCACCTCGATACAAATTCATCTTTCTTAGCATATGCATCTCCACAGTAAGTATAATCCTTTTTTAAAAGAAAAAAATAGCAAACAGTGAATAACAACACCATAAGTATGGGTAACCACAAGGAACAGGTTCTACTTGAATTATTTTGCAAATGACTTTTTAGCAAGGATGGTATTCCAACCAATGGTTAAGAATCAAAGACATAATCACTATGTGTAAGGCACTATTCTTTGTGCCCTATAAAAGTAATTGGGAAAAATATACTTAACAAATTTGGAAAACGAATATAAAAATCACCATCAACACTGCTGAAACTACCCCCATCACCAAACTGCCACCATCATCACAAACCTCCTACCACATAGCCACAACACTACTAAGGAAACATCCATGATGTACACCCTGAGTAACAGGCATTAGTATTCTCATCTACAGGTCAGGCATCCTGAGTGAAACAGCAGGTCAGTGTCAGAAGCCAGAGCTGGTACAAAAACACAGTGATTCTTCCCAAGAAAAAAAAATATTAAAAAAAAATCTCAAAAATAGAGCAATACAACGAAAATTAAGGATCTGTGTTTGGACTTACATTTCAGCATGACAAGCCAAAGATTCCTTAATTACAAACAATAGCATGTGGGATAATTCACTCACCAATCACTCTTTCCAGCAAGCCAGGAAAAACCTGCAGATAGGTGAGCAGATCAGTATTAGCGGTCATTTCACACAAGACATCAAGAAGCCGAATTGTGGCCAATGCCTCCTAAAAAAAAAAAAACATGACTTTAAGTCAAGCTAAATAATTTGCAACTGTTATAAATAATGGTAAGAGAATGGAATACTATGAAAACTATTAAAGAGTTGGTGCTGGTAAAGTCAGCATCTAAAGAGAGAAAACAAAATGACCAAGAACAAAACAGAAGTATTAAATCTGTACGTGAACAATCATTTTCACTCACAGCAACATCTGCCATCAAGAACGCGAGATTATGTGTCATTATGTGTCTTCTTGGAGCGAAGAGTCAGAAAAGTTCTTATTCAAGCAAAAATACCTTCCAACAGTGGAATAAATGTTCAAAATTACTAGCTACGTACATAACATTTATGCAAATACTTTCTTTTTAAAGCATTCCCAGCAAGCAAGTTCTACTTTAAAGATACAACTATCCCATGAAATACATAAATTTCTTGTCCACAGGAATCCTGTAAAATACTGTGGCTGAAAGAACTCTGACTGCAAGAATGTGCATTATTTCTGGGTAAATATAAACCTTTATGCAGTATCTTGCAAGGTTGGAAAAGATAACATTATTTGGAAATGTTAGTTCACATAACTACTCAATAACTGATTATCAAATGGACCAAATGAACAAAAAACTACCAGCTACCAACTATATGGTATTAGGTAATCTGAATAAAATGGTAAAATCCAATTTTGTACAGATTTTGGCCCTAATTTTTAAAGTGCACATTATTTAGCAAAATGCGGTAGACGCTATAAATTTAGGTCATAAAGAGAACATTCTTCAAAAGAAAAATAAACTATTTCTTTTTGTTAATTCTAAACATGTACTTACTGTTCTTCAGTTAGGAGATTTAAAGGTAATATTCTAATCTACCATTCTGAAATCTCAAAAGAAACCACAAGAAACATTTATTTTTTTTAAAAATTGTTATTTATTCATTCATTCATTCGTTTGTTTATTTATTTAGAAGGAGAGAGAGAGAGAAGTCCAAGCAAACTCTGCACTGAGTGCAGAGCCCAACACAGGGCTTGATCCCATGACCCAGAAGTCATGACTTGAGCCGAAATCAAGAGTTGGACGCTCAAATGACTGCACCACTCAGGTGCCCCACAACACACATTTTTAATGCCTTGTATCTTTAATTTTACTCTAGCTTTCACTTGCTCGATAACAAGTTAGGGGAGATATCTAGATGAGAAGGTTGGGAAATCAGAGCCACATTCAAAAGACTCTTGAGCAAACCCGTGGACGTCATGCAGCATCAGCACCCTCTTCTGTGAATGGGCAGTTGCCCAGACTGTCATCTGCAGATGCCATTCCCCCTTCAAGAAGTGGCTGACTGGTTGTAGATCTGGGGCAGAACACGTGTCACATGATCCTGAACACAGAAAACAAGCTGTGAGAGACGATCGGGATCATGTCAGAAGGAATCAGAAGCAACCTGAGAAGGCTCTCACTGGCCAGCAATGGCACATTAGAAAACTAGGGAGAGGGGCACCTGGGTGGCTCAGATGGTTAAGCGTCTGCCTTCGGCTCAGGTCATGATCCCAGGGTCCTGGGATCGAGCCCCACATCGGGCTCCTGGCTCAGCGGGGAGCCTGCTTCTCCTCTCTCCCTCTGCCTCTCTCCCTGCTCATGCTCTCTCTCTCTCTCTCTTTCTCTCTCTCTCTCTGTGTCTCAAATGAATAAATAAAATCTTAAAAAAAAAAAGAAAACTAGGGAGAATGACAGCTAAAATGGATTAAAAATAAATCAGGTATTAGGGAGCGCCTGGGTGGCTAGGTCAGTTAAGCGTCCGACTCTTGGTTTTGGCTCAGGTCATGATCTCAGGGTCCTGGGATCAAGCCCCTCGTCAGGCTCCATGGTCAGCAGAGAGTCTGCTTCCTCTCTCTCTCTCTCTTGCTCCTGCTCCTTCTCTAAAATAAATAAATAAATCTTTAAAAAAAAGGAGAGAGAAAGAAATCAGGTGGTTTTAAAACTATGACATCACAAGTGATGAAATCAAAACGAAACAACTCACTGAGGATGCCACAAAACCAATTCATAACTTTGAATACTGGTAACCAAAATGTACCTTGTATAACCTAACAGTTGATTAGGAGAAGTTTCTAAATGATAAGAGTCAAAATACCACCATTTTGAGACCCCCAAAGAATGAATGGACCCAGGTAACAATCATTTACAACAGCTAACATCACAAAAGAGACAACCAGACATTATGTGCCTCTTGATCAAAGCACATATCATCAACAATAAAATATTACTGGGAAAAAAAGACATAAAAACTTAACCCAAATCTGAATAGCTCTCTGGAATTAATTATCAGTCACAGGAAGGCAAGGACAAGACGAATATGCTAGACACCACCATGAAGATAAAATCATAGTCCAAACTGTAGACAACTCCACAGGTAAAACAACCCAGTTTCCTCAGTAAAGAACTAGCAAAAGAAAAAAAGGCGGAAAAAAAGAAGAGAAGGGGGGCAAGAAAGGGAAACATATACATTAATGGATATTTGAGGTACAACAACAGATTGCAATGTATGGCCTTTGTTTGTATCCTGATTTGAAGAAATAAACTTGAACAAAATTATTAGATAATGGGGAAAAAAATCTGAGTATTGTTTACTTGATATTATAATTATACTGCTAATTTTTTTTAAAGATTTATTTATTTATTTATTTATTTGAGAGAGAGAATGAGAGAGACAGAGAGCACGAGAGGGCAGAGGGTCAGAGGGAGAAGCAGACTCCCTGCCGAGCAGGGAGCCCGATGTGGGACTCGATCCCGGGACTCCAGGATCATGACCTGAGCCGAAGGCAGTCGCTTAACCAACTGAGCCACCCAGGCGTCCTATACTGCTAATTTTTTAGGTGTGCTAACTGTAGTTGACTTGGGTGTGACTCGTCTTTTAAAGATACGTATAAAATAATGACCTGATGAGACATGTCGGAATTTTGCTTCAATCCAGGGCTGCTGCCGCAAGATCAAGTCGGGATCATGGATGAAACAAGAGCAGTAATGAACAGAGTGCTGCTGATGTGGGTGATGGGGCTCAGGATGCTTTTGTCGCTTAGTCTGTTTGAAATTTTCCATGATAAGAAGATAAGAATAAAATTAGAGGGTTGGAAGAAATCGTGTAGATGTTTCTTTCCAGCTCCTAAATTCTATGATGTCAACTGAAATAAACCCAAAAAGAAAACTAATCTAGCTCCACCTAACACATTCCCAATTTTAATCATTAGAATCCTTTTATTAATAATGTGTTTCCAAGGAGCATCTGGAAAGCAATAATGAAAAAAAAAAAGCCAGGAAAATGATTCTCTTAAAAACTAAGAGGAATACTTGAGATGCCCTTCTAGTATCTGTAAGTATTATACAACTACAGTCATGAAATTGGGCACTGGGGAAAACAAGACACAGGCACATCAAAGGAATAAGCCTCTGCAGTGGGCAGAAGGCGGGGTCGGGGGGGGGGGTTAGTCTCCTGTGTAGATCATCTGTCTGGGTTAACTTTACCCTTTAGTGTCTTTCAACTATTTTACAATATTCTAAGTTGTAGAAAAGTGATAATAGTGCAAATGACTCTTGTCCACAGAAACCTAGATTACTTGGGTCTGGCTGGAATGCAATTAAATTACTGCCTTGTGCATAGACCACTGTTTGCATCTATGGGTCAGATCACTCCAGCATTCCTTCATCGTGTATAAACACGTGGCTCTCTGAATTCTTTGACAGCTGTTAGTATCTCACTGGTTCTCTCTGTAAAATGTCAGAAACACAGAAATGGATCCAAAAATATACAAGAATGTAATATATGACAAAGGTAGCATTAAAAATAGTGGAAAGGATGAGATCATTCACTAAACAGTATTGACACAACAATTAACAGCTAACATTTAGGGAGCACTAACTATGTACTGATCAGTGTAGTAAATGCTTACGTCAAAATACTATTCATTTTCCAGGCAGAGAAACTGGGGGAGAGAAAATAAGTAAGTTTTCCAAGAGCACACACCAGTAATAGAGGAAATCAGGATTCAAACCCAAGTGGTCTTTTACCAAAGATTACAGAATCTTGGATCATCAAAAGACATAATCTGGATCTGTACTTCCCTCCTTGCTCAAAAAACAAATTCAGTTAAAAATGTGGACCAAATACTGAAAGAACTAGAACACACAGGTGCATATTTCCACAATCTAAGTGGAGATGGTTTTACTAAATATGTAAGAAACTTCAGAAACCATAAGGATAAAACTGGCAAGCCTAACTAGATTAAAAACAAAAATACAAACTTCTAAAAGGCTGAGAATACCATAAATAAATTCAAACAAAAAATTAACTATGGGGGGGGAAGTTTCCTGTATATAAGACAGAAACACTAATCTTCTGAAAATGCTCATTAATAACTGTATTTTAAAAGGTAACCTAATATGAAAAACAAATTAACATGCTGGACACTGAAAACAGTTACAGAGAAATGGGCATTAAATCAGATTAGTGAAAGGCTGTAAACCCATTTACTCCCATGTTCTTTTCGTGCGGCATTTAGAAGTATTTCTAAACATTTTAAATAAACAGACTCTCTGACTCAGCGATTCAACATCCGGAAATTCACAATTTCAGATGTACCTGTCCAAAACTGCAAAGATATCCACGCTACAGCATTATCTGTAAAGGTTTGAGGAAAACCCTGGAAGCAACTGAAGTGTACGTCGACAGAGAACAAATGAGGAAATTCCATCTCCTCCGTCTAGTGGAATTCTGCTCAACTGTGAGGAAGAAGCAGATGAAGGCACATAATGTGTTAAATGGAAAGATGTATAAGACACTTCAGGCTAAGTGAAAAAAGAAGTTGAAGAATAAAAGAAGTAGTATTGTTTAAAAAAAAAGAAGAAGAAGAAACAAACAAAAAACAGGTGTATACTTACAAAAATCTCTGAGAAGAGAAGAAAAAAGTATATGACGATATGTCCAGAGAAAACAGACAGGGGCTGGGCGGGACTTCTGTTTCACTGTTTCACTGACTTCAGTGTGAATTTTATTTTTTATTTAATAAGCAAATATTATTTGCACAATACAAATATTTAATCCCTTATCAATCTGTGGAATGAAAGATTACCATTTCTTATTCCACAAATATTTATTAAATACCTACTATATTAACAGATATTATAACGTAAGTTGGGGAACGCAAGGAATAAAACAACGAAAAACCCACCAGCTGAGGATAATTCTCATAACAGATGAATACGAGAATATACAAAACCAAAAAGAATTTATTTAACTTCCAGAGGAAAGGCCAGGCTCCCTACAAGCAACAAGACTAAGGCTCGAGATAAAGCTGAACTGAACTCTAAGTCCTACGGGATAAATTGCACATTAGCACCGACGAAAAGGTTCTCAGAAACTGGAGACACGTATACAAAAAATACCGAAGACAGAAACACGTATGTTAATGTGAGATCCTCAGACTGTTTCTATTAAGGAAGACATGAAAAAAAAAAGCCTCAGGACTTTAAAGCCCAACAATTACACAAATACACAATAGATGACCCCAAGACGACAATTTTCACTCCAATATTTTGGTCACAACATTATGAGACCCTCACTGGCTATCTTGTCCTAAGAATATCACAACTGGGTAAACGCAGAGGTTTGCTGGCCTGCTAGCTGTGGGGAGATGCAAAAGGAGGGAGGAGCAGAGAGCCCTGATCTGCGGCCTTTGCTGATTTCCATGGTAGAAATACTTCCACCATGGCCGATTTCAAGCTACCAAGAATTCAACAGTCAGCTCATGGATATCTGAATATTTTAACAAGTGACTCTCAGAAGTCGTATTGCCTGGCTGCAGTATACCACTGGGTATATGGTATATTAAATATTGGGGTTAGAGGTCTTCTTAAAAACTACTGTAGCTTTTTAAAAAAAATGTCTAACTTAAAGGAGAACACATATACACCAATATGCACAAGTCACGACTTTATAGATCAATTTTTTTAAAGACTTTTTTATTCATTTGAGAGAGAGTGAGAGAGCGAGCAAGAGCGAGAGCACGAGCAGGGGGGAGGCTCAGAGGGAGAGAGAGAGAAGCAGACTCTAGACCAAGCAGGGAGTCTGACATGGGGTCTGATCCCAGGACCCCGGGACCATGACCCGAGCCCAAGGCAGACGCCTAACCAACTGAGCCACCCAAGCACCTGATCAATTTTTTTAAAAAGTGAACAATGAATCAAGGAACACTACATCAAAAACTAATGATGCAATGAATGGTGACTAGCATAACATAATAAAATAAAATTTAAAAAAACAGTGAATGATTTGGGCTTTTCAAAAGAAAACTGTCTACAAATTTCTATTTATTAATATATAGTAATTATTCCCCTTTTAGAGAAAAAAAATGCTTGAAAGAAAAATATAAATTTTCCTCAATATAAAAAGTTCCATCAGGTAATTTCTTATTATAACACTGAAGTCATCTATACTATAAATGCCAGTGCCTTGAAAAAGCTTAAAGCTGTGGTTTAACAAGTACTAAGTTTTACCTCCTTTTCTGTCTCCTAGAGAATTAATTTTTACTTTTCTGAAGCACAGCTCACTGCTCCTCCTGCTGGAAACAGAGGCAAATCTATCTCCAGAAAAGAAAGGTATCACGGAGTCAAGACTTGGCCTCTCCTACCACAGAAATGAGAACTAAACTATCAGCTCTGTCATCGAGACCCAACATGGTCTGTAGGACACAGCACAGAACATCCTTAGCAAAGTAACCTGGAAAAAAGGTGTAGTCACAGAGAAGGAAATCTACTGTCACGGTGGAAGAGTCATAACCACGGCCTGCATTTACAGAGGGAGTTAACAGGTTCATGGCATCACACACACAAGATGCAGGAAATGTGAATGGACCCGCAGAGAGTGGATGGTCCCGGGGAAGGGCAGCCCCTCCCAGCTATTCCCACCTCTCTGCCCACAGGAGTCGCTCTCCACCCATCACTCCCATCAGCACAGAAATGTTCCTATCAGTGTTACTGCGCTACAGCTGACATGCAATAAAATACATCCACCTTGAGTGTACCGTACAGAGTTCTGTCAAGGTATGCAGCCATGTACCGCATTTCTTTTACCCAAAATGTACCCTCATATCCTTCACAATCAAATCCACCCCTTCCCCTCCAGCCCCAGGTGACATCTGATCTGCTTTGTTTGTATCAGTAAGTTTCACCTTCTACAGAATTTCAAAGATGGAATCATAAGATACATTCTCTAGTCTGGCTACTTTCAGGCGTATGTTTGGGATTCGTCTCCGCTGTTTTATCATGAACCCATTCCTTTCTACTGCTGAGCAGTATTCCAGAGAAAGAACCATTCTAACTTTAAGACAGAAGGGAAGGAAGATGGGACAGACAAAAATAAAGAGAAGTTCTCAAGTGTGAAGGATGTATCAATGCTTCCATCCCCTTAGTAAAGACTGGAATAATCCAGGGAGGCCTCAAGGAAAGTAAAACGAAAAAATTACTTGAAGAAGCTAGCCAGGATGGTGTATGATCGGGAATGTCTTATGATGACAGAAGAAACGAACGTTCTGGAAGGCAATTTAGAAATATAAGCTTTAAAACTGGATACACCCCGGGGCTCCTGGGTGGCTCAGTCAGTTAAGCGTCCGACTCTAGATTCTGGCTCAGGTCATGATCTCCTGAGATCAAGCCCAGCATCAGGCTCCGTGTTCAGCGGGGAGTCTGCTCGAGATTCTGTCTCTTCCTCTCCATCTGCTCCTCCCTCATCTCAAGTGTGTGCACTCTCTCTGTCTCTCAAATAAATAAATCTTAAAAAAGAAAAAAAAAAAAACAAACAAACCACAAAACTGGATGTACCCTAACACCCAGCAATTCCACTCCTGGGTTAACAGCAGGGAAAGGTACAAAGACGGAATTGCAAGGACATGTGCCACAGCACTAACTACAGAAAACAGGTAAGAACAACCAGAATGTCCAACTAACAGCTGGACAAATACATTATGGCAAATTCGTCACTTCTAATGCTACACTGACTTTTTAAAAGACACTGACAATGTACTGTTTATTCATTCTGCAAATACTAAGGGCCTACTGTGTGCACAGTACTATGAACATAACAGTCAAAACTTCTACCCTCATAAAACTTACATTCAGGAGAAAAAAAAAAGAGAAACTTACAAACAGCACAGCATGATCTCATTTTTAAAATATATATGTTTGTGTGTGTGTGTGTGTGCATGGATGCACGCATATATTTGATGTTATCTGCCTAGAAAAATATGTTAACTAGAATCTGTTTTCAAGTCATTAACTCTGGATGGTAGGAATGAGGGCACTGTTTTCCCTTGTTTTCCTTAACTGCCCTCATCCATCTGGGTCGCTGTAACAGAATACCACAGACTGGGTGGCTTGGAAACAACCAGACACTGATGTCTCATAGTTGTGGAGGCTGGAAGTCCATGATCAGGACGGCTGGGTTCTGATGAAGGCCCTCTTCCAGGCTGCAGATGGCCGACCTCTCGCTGTGTCCTCACGCGGTAGACAGGGCAAGGGATCCCTGCAGGGTCTCTTTGTTAGAGCACTAATCCCAATACTGGGGGCTCTACCCTCAAGACCTGCTCACCTCCCACAGGCCCAGCCTCCTAGGACCATCACCTTGGCCATCAGGTTTGCAACATATGGATTTGGAGGGAAGGGGACACAAACATTCAGTCCACAGCAGTCCACTCATTACTTATGCAGTATTTTTTAAAGTTTTAAAAAAGAATTCTCAGAGAGGGCCTAGCTGGCTTAGAAAATCTCCCTGTTCTCTCCCATCCAAGATTCTGAAATCTGTCCTCTTACCTCATCGTCTGCATGCTGCTCGGAGGTCAATTTGAGCACCATCTTGCACTGATCCACAAAAGTGCTTGCAATCAGCTCAGCATGGCTCAAAAACACAGGGATGTCATCCTTGGTCAGTGGCTCATCCCCCACTAATTTTGCAATTATGAGGTCTAGCAATGTAACTCTGTAAAATGTACAAGAGTTTTACATGAATATGTAATACTGAAATTGTACAATGCTAAAAATAATGAGAGCATTTTAAGAGAACATTTTTATTTTTAAATTTCTTACTTTGTTCATAATGTCTAGCTAGGGAAATATTGTGTGTGAATAGTATGACTCTTCATCAATTACCTATTTTTTAAAATCTTGATTTCTTTGATGTGACCTGACTACAGAAACCAGCACCCTTTCTATATGCATTCCTGTAAGCCCTTAATTCAATATTTCAGAAATGCTGTCGGATTAGGTTTTCTAACACATGCACAATGACAACAAATGTGAGGTTCAGTGGGCTAATAACATTTATTCACAGCCCACTACTGAGCTAACGAACCTTCTACACGCACGATCTCCGAGAGACAGCTACTGTCACTGGCCTGGGCTACGCTCGGCAAATACGGCTCAGTGAGGCTGACTCACCTGACTCACGTCACTCAGACGTGCCATGTCGGGATCCATGCACAGGATTCCACCTCTCACTCCTGGGCCACAGGCCTCAGCTCCTCACTTTACTGTCCTTCTTGTAAAGGCTGGCTTTGCTTGTTTCGTTATTTTAGTTCATAAAAACATAAATCTGAAGACCAAACCCATGCCATTTTACATCAACACTTAAACGATCCCATAAGTATTTCTATTCAACAAGCTCTTTCCTTCTCTGACCAAAAAAATGAATCCTATACAGGGTAGTCTATCCAGCATAAACCAAGCAGGATGTTTCCCAAAATCACACTGTGACATGGGACTAAATGCATAACTCTCATTTATTTCCAAACCAGAAAGGACACGGATGCTAGCTAAGCAAATGGGGAAAATACATGTACAGTAGGCACGGAACATTTCTTACCAAACAAACAAACGAAGAATTTGTTTACTGCTACAAGTTTAAGTACGAAATAAAACTATACCAAACTCTTCCCGTAGTTTTGCAAAATGATGAAAAAGATCATCAGTCTGGAAAAATCACACACAGACTTTACTGGTTTTCAAAATTCCTAAAAGCCTCCAATTTCTTAGAGCAATCATTAACCCAAAATAAAACAAATATTTGTCTCAACTGAGCACAAAAGAACAACAAATAGTTCAGCATTAGGATGTTTTTGTTTTCCCTTATTCACACAGAAACTTTAAAAATGAATGGGGTCCTCTCAGGCCATAAAGCCAGGCAGGACAACCTTCCGGGAATGCTAGGGAGGAGGCCACCTAAGGAACCCAAATGTCTGCTTTAAAAATACTCCTTTTAAATTGGAATAGTGTGGCAATGATTGCTGGGTATGAGAAGTCATGAGCTCTGGTTTTAGGGAATTCAGCACCTTGTGGACTATTACTCAACAGGGCGAAGAGAAAGAAGAGATCGTGAAGGAGTTGCGTGAGGTCCAAGACAGAAAAGGTAGGCCCAGCATGGTACCCAAGCTTGTCTAGCAGCAGCGGGAAGGCCCTGGAGTCCCAGGGGACACTCTGAGGGAGACCTGGAAGCTGGAGCTGATAGACATGGTCAGCACAGACGCAGCCTTCCTTACAAGCTCACCACAGGCCATCCACCCCTCAGACTTCTCCCTGCTCAGGAGCCTCACCTCTCCACTCTACTGTGTGATTGTAACACGGGACGGCTGAGCAGAGAAGGAGTAAGTCAACTTAAGGAAAAAATAAAAAATGAATGTTCAAAATCTAAAAATACAAATCAAGTTTAAATATCACCTGAGAATAAACTAGACCTCATTAAGTGCTCCTACTTCTATTGTGTTCTCTGTCCATAAAAACGTTTGGGGGCTCCCATTATTAGGGAGTGGGTCCAACAATCTGGGGCTGTCCCAACCCGAGTCCCCATCGAACTCTCCAACTCCCTCTACTTAGAGCCACCATCAAAAACCATCCTTCTGGTCAAATACAGGAGTCAGGTGCGGGACACACCACTCCAGTAGGAATCTGTTTTCAGATTCATTTATTTTAATGGCGCATTACATTGGCCGCCTCCCTTTCCAAGCCAGAAACCGTATGTGTGTTGAAACTTGAAATGTCCTGCAGAATCCAGGAAAATGGGACATGATGTGGAATGTCTTACTTCTTGCAGCTGTGTGGGAACCGCACTAAATCCTTCCTTGAAAAGGTAACAGAATACAAGTGCTATTCACTCACCTATTTATTCACTCAGAAGTGAAGGATGAAAAAGCAAGAGACCTAGTTGAAGAGGTCAGGGACTAGCTGTCTACAGTCACACATTGGTGTAAAAGTCCTGCATCCTTCAACCCCGGAATCCTCAGGTCTGCCTTAGGCTACCAGACACAACCCTCAATTCAGATTCGAGCTTCTAGGATTCTCTCCCTCAACCACCGGCTGTCATTCACAATCTTTCTGATCCACTTCTGATTAAATAGTTACACAGTCTGCCCTCAAAATGAGGATTCCTGTTTCATAAAGAAAAAAAAAAGGCAATATATATACATGTGAAGAATTTTAAGGGAAAATTCTATAGCAAAATTTTTATTTGAAAGTTATGCTTAAATTAATGATGCAGGCTACAATTTTAATAGCCACGCCTGTGCCGTCCTGAAATGGGAAGTTTGTTATGAGAGGACGGGAGTGAGCGACTTTTATGAGCGGGGTATGAAATAATACTCTCTAATTCTAGAAATAAAATGTCATTCAAATTTCAGGACTGAGAGCTCCAACAAACCATGAATTTACATTTGGACTCCTCCACATATACAATTTGTTGAATGATGTGCCCACAAAGGCCAAACCTTTCATTAACCTGAACAAGCTAACCGAGATACAGGCACAAAGCTATGGCTGAATTAATCTCACCAGTCCTTTAGTAAGTCACAGAGATAAGAAATTCTTGTGTTGCGGGGAAGAAGATAACTGATTTTGGCATCCGACAGACTGAGTTCAAACACGCCCCCAGCTACCTCTGTAACCCGGGGCAAACACCCGCACCTACAAAACCGCAGGTCCCAGTAGGGCAGATGGCAAGAATAACACCCACTTCCCAGGGTCTCTGGAGGATGAAATGAAACGGCTATAAGATGCCACCTGGAGGAAGAGACAAGGTGGCAGAGCGGCAGGACTAACAGCAGCGGTGGTGATGGAGGGGCGGAGGACCAGCAGCAGAAGCACAGAGGCAGAACTAGCAACTCATTCACTGAGTGATAATCCCGTGCCAGGCACAGCCTCCTCATAAATTTCAATCAGTTACGGCAATTTCATGGGGCGGCTACTGTTCTTATCCTTGTTCTACAGATGGACCAGAGTTCCCCAAGTACAGGTAACTTACCCAAAGCCATGAGCCACAGAACCACCTCTGCTGTTCACTACTCTGCTGTACGGATTATAAGCCTGAGAACCACCCAAGCGTTTTCCAAGAGCAGCTAGGTTTAATCTAGTAATACTGCAATTCATTGGGAAGGAGGACCAGAAAATCCTATAAATGCAGACTCTCATTTCTCTGAGTCAACCATGTGAACTGATTTTGACTTATAATCCTAAACTTCTCACCGAGTAGTCTGGAGTCGATGAGTGGTGACATTCCAAGCACTTTCCCTCCGGAGCCACCCACACTGTCCCTGTGATGCCCCGGGGACTGCCACTACCTGTTTTACTGACTGACCCTCAAATGTGTAAACCTGGCAGCCCCTAACCCAACTGGACATTCTAACTCAGCAGGTGGGGCCACAGCCTGGGCATTCCTCAGGCGATTCTGATGTGTGTTCCCAAAAGCACCACAGTGTGTCCACAGGGGTCTCTAGTGAAGTTCCTCATCTGAACCACAGTGAACACAGAGAATGTTCTCAGTTCTCAAAAACAAGGCACGCAGCACCATTCCACGTGCATAGAAAAGAAGTTAATTCATTACACATCCCTGTTGAGAAAAACTCTAATCTTTTCAATCCTATTAATCTGCAAACTCACAACTGTGAACACAGAATTACCCATAACTGCCTGAAAAGGAGTCAACAGGGAACCCAAGAGCTCTACTTGACCGCAGACTGAGTACTCCCGCCAAGACCCCTTTTCCTTCCTCCCTGGGTCCTCCCCCCGCCACACACCATCAGCACTGAACTCGTCAGGCCCCCCAGCCAATTGTTTGAGTCAGTCACCACAAAAACCTCACACAAGCTCTGACAAGGGCCTAAAAGCATGAGCGTACAGCTGACCCCCGAACACCACAGGGTCAGTCAAAAATCCATGTTATCACTTTTGGCTCCCCAAAAACGTAACTACTAATAGCCGACTGTTGACCGGAAGCCTTACGGTAACGTCAGTTGATTAACATGTATTTTGTATGTTGTATGTATTATATACTGTGTTTTTACAATAAAGTAAACTAGAGAGAAGAAAATGTCATTAAGAAAATCATAAGAAAAAAGGGTGCCTGGGTGGCTCAGTCAGTTAAACGTCTGACTCTTGGTTTCACCTCAGGTCATGATCTCAGGGATATGAGATCGAGCCCTGCGCTGGGCTCCGTGCTCAGTGCGGAGTCTGCTTGAGGTTCTCTCTCCCTCTCCCTCTCCCCCACCCCTGCTCACACACACACGGGTGCTCTCTCTAAAATAAAATAAATAAATAAAATCTTTAAAAAAAGAAAATCAGAAGGAAGAGAAAATATATTTACAGGACTGTACTTATTTTAAAAATCTGCATATAAGTGGACCTGCGCAGTTCACACCCGTGTTGCTCAAGGGTCAGCTGTACATTCACCAGAAGGAGAGGCAGTGAGTGGCCAGGACGCTCCAAGCAGAGAAAATGACATCCGCAAAAGCATGAAATTACAGGCAAGGCCTCGAGAACTGACAGAAGTTCTGTGTCGCCATAATGTGGTAACCGAGAATGGGGGAAAGGGGCTGGAGATGAAGCTGCATGGTAAAGGCCTCGCATGCCACACCACTGAGGACACACGAGGCGGCGCCCACAGAAAGGCGCTGCCTGTGACTCAGCCAGCAGAAGGGGACCTGAGGGCTCTGAGGTTTCCACCTCAGTAGATGGCATTCCAGGAGTCAGTGTACTAACTGGACAGACCTTTTCACGAGTAAGAAAATTCATTTACTTCCTCGTGTTTTCATCTAAACAACTTTTTCTGGCACCCTGACGTGCCAAGCACCATCTGGGAACATGGCCACCCCGGAAGAAAAAGATGGAGCCCGTGCCCTCGCAGGGCCAACAGCCCAACGGCAGGGTCACACAGCACCATGCAGGTGTGCAACACAATACGATGCGTGACAAATGACGTGAAGAAACAAAAACACTTCTCAGGAAGAAAAGTCAAGAGGGGCCGTGGCACGTGAACAGACACTGCATGAAGGGGAGCAGTGGCTACAACGTCTTTATAAGTAAAAATAGAAAATGTTTAGTCTGGCATCTTCATTTGGTTACATGACAGAGCAGTTCAAAAACAGATCCTTTGACAGGAATATGGAAAATGTAAAACTGAGTATTAAAAATACAACTCAACCGTGTATCAGTCTCCTTGCGTTCGGGTATTCCTTACTGCAAAGCAGCTTCCCAAGTGATAGCACTGCTCTACACCTCACTTATTTTAGGTCAAAAAGCTACAAATAATTCTTTTTCTGCAACAGAAGTATGCATATGGGGAGGGCCCACTGGCTTTATAAACATGGCATTTAAACTGACTTTAAAAGCACGAACTTTCCTTTTCGTTAAAGCTCTCAAAGAAGAAATCCCACTTAACGAGACTACAAAGGAGTGTAAAAGCTTAATTTGGAAATCACATAGATAGTAAGAATTTCAAAACCACAGCAATTATAAAAATTGTGACTACAATCAAAAGATTAACATTTTTTAAAGTTTTTGATCATTAGAGCCGTGATTTCGAAGTTTTATTTTTCCTAAGGCAACATTCCCAATAAGGCTAGGGAACACATGAGCTATGGGAGTCATCCAGGGCGCTGTGAATCATGTCATTCCATCCTCTAATCTTACAGGCCGAGAAACTGAATCCAAACACAGTAAAAGGCCTGGCTACGGTCACAGAAAGAATTACCATCACAAGGAGGCAGGGAGCCATGGTCTCCATGCTCCGAGGGCACTGCTCTTCCCACTACAATAGCAGGGAGATCACGGACGGGTACCCAGTCTTTGTCTGAAATACCTATGGGAAAACTACACGTGAGTGGAGTATGTCCCAAATCATTACACCAGTGATGTGAACACAGAAGCACATTTCAAATACACAACTGCAATCAAAGGACAGGCATAACATTTTGTTCTTAACGTTTCTGAGTTTGCCTTTACTGAATAATGGCGCCAACCTGGATCGCGCAGCCCCACGTAAATCATCGCCTGTTGTGGCTAAGCTGTAATGTTAACCAACCAATTTAAAACCATTACTGACACAGAAACATGTATTTAGAAATTTTGTGCCAACTAAGAAACCACATAGTTTCTCAGTCATGTGTACAGGATACTCTGTATGGAATGCTAAATACTCAAAACCACACTGGTTTTTGGGGTTACCTTTCTTGATTGCTCATTTTGGCATACATCGCTTTCACCAATTCCGGGCTCTTCAGAAAGTGGTCTGTAATAATCAAGAACCTAAGAAAAAAAGGAGGAGAAAGTGTGGTTACTAGAAACGTAGTAAAATGGACATGGCCTTATATACTTTATGGGCATTGTACACAGAAAAGTACTTCTTTTTATTGAACTTTTGATGTGCTGTAATCTTAAAATGTTTTAAGAGGTTCATATACTATTTTTCCATTAGTGGCTAAAAGAAAATAAAAACCCTCAAAATAGGTTTCTCCAATTTTACTTTGGAAATATTTACTGAAATGATTCAAATGTATTCAACTATAGGTCTTATCTAAGTTCCATTTTAACTATAAAATGAAATTTAGCTACAAGTTCAGGTATAAACAGAAACTGTATTAAAGTGTCTTACTCAGAAGGTTAAGTGCTAAAATTAACTGGAGAAATGGACGACATGTCACACATTTTATTTAAACGTATGCCAACAACCTGGTAATGCACACTGGCTTGATTACCTTGTCTGTAAGAGCTCTCAAGTTACCAAGAAAACATCCTCATTGTCAAGCAATGCACTCATCTAAACTCAAAGATCAACTTATGGAAACCCTGAGGCAAAGATTATAAGCGTATTTCTTTAAAGTACCACTGTGACAACTAAAAAGACTGAACAGTATTATTAATTAATTCTGAATCATATTGGCCAGAGGGCATCTGCAGGCTTAAGAACTAAAGAATATACCGTTTATAACCAAGGTTATAGCATAAGAGTGACTGTAAAGCATTAAATATATTTATGAACACAGTTTATTTAACCACTTAACAAAAAATATAATGAAAGTGTTTCAGTTTGATAACCAAATGAACCATATTAACTACCACAACACACTGTCACTCATATAAAAACAAAAACTAAACGTGTTCTATTTCTTCCACAGCCCTCAAAATAACTGATCAGCACTTTTTTTTTTTTTTAAGATTTTATTTATTCATCTGACAGAGACAGCGAGAGAGGGAACACAAGCAGGGGGAGTGGGAGAGGGAGAAGCAGGCCTCCCGCCGAGCAGGGAGCCCGATGTGGGGCCCAACCCCAGGACCCTGGGATCATGACCTGAGTCGAAAGGCAGATGCCCAACGACTGAGCCACCCAGGCGCCTCAGCACTTTGATATAAGATATTTCTAGTAATAATGTATACATAGAAAATTCTCAAACAGTTCTCATGCCAGTTTAGGTAGGTCATTAAACTGCAACAACAGAAATTAACACATTTTAAGCCAGGTACATAAAAGTGATCCCAAAGCTCATTCATGATTTAGCTTTCTGGAGCTCAAAACATTTTCCCAGAAGAACATTCATTCAAAAACACAATGTTCCAGGGTGGCTCAGTTGGTTGAGCATCAGACTCTTTCTGCTCAGGTCATGATCTCAGGGTGGTGAGATGGAGCCCTGCATCAGGCTCCGCACTGGGCGTGGAGCCTGCTTAAGATTCTCTCTCTCTCTGCCCCTCCCCGCCGTGCTCGCTTGATCACCCAAAAAACAAACAAATAATAATAATAATAAATAAAAAGTATTTTTTAAAAAACCCACAATATTCCAAAACTGTGCTAGGAGCTAGATCACAATCCATATTCCAAAATGCTAACAGTGGAGAAAAGCCCACACACAGAGAATTAGACAAAAATGTCTCAGGGGCAACACACATAAACTTTATGGAGTAGAGAAATAATGAAGTTGATCTAACCAGAGGGCCAAGGCAGGACGCTCAGAAGGCCAAAGGAGGTGTTCTGTGAGTCCCTCATTGAAGGGGGACATGGAAAAACAGGCTATCAGCACACTCAGGGAACTAGACCCAGGCAAACGCGAGGAGGGTTTAAAGAGGGATTCAGGACCAAAAGCTTCCATCCTGGACTGCAACTGGCCCCCAGCTGTGGGCCCTCCCGTCCCTCAGCCAAGGCTCCAGGACGACCATGCCCTCCTTCATGACACCAGCCAGTGTCCTCTTTCTTTTTGATCAATTTTTGTTGATCTTCTTAAAGAACCAATCTAGCCTTGGTTAATTTTTTCTATTAATTTCTGTTTCGTGGGTCACTGTTTTCAGCCCTGATCTCATCTCAATTGCTTCTTTCTGCTTACTTAGGTTGTTCTGTGCTGTTGTCTACCTTCACAAAGTAGAACCTTCATGGAGGTCACTGCTTTTAGATCTTTCTTCTTTTCTGGTAGAAACTTTTAAAGCTATACATTTCCCTCCAAGCACTGCTTTAACTTTATCCCACAAATTCTGTATTTTCATTATCCTTCAGTTCAAAAGACTGTCTAATTTGCCCTATGATTTCTTCTTTGACAAACTGATTCTTTAGATGAGCTAATTTCCAAAAACTTGGAATTTTTCTCAGTATCATCTGATTATGGTTCTCTAATGTAAGGTCATTGTAGTCAGAGACCACACACTCTGTAGGTTCTCAATCCTTTTTGTATATTTACTGAGACTTTTTATAGCCCAGATTATGGTCGATCTTGGTAAACATTACACATGCAGCTGAAAAGAAAGTGGATTCTGCAAGTGCAGAGATAATGCTCCTACAACATCACTCAGTAAAGATGGTTCTGAGACCATCTACCTCTACACTGACATTCAATGGCTGAAAAGTGAGTGTGAAAACCTCCCAACTATCACTTCCAATTCCAGGCATAATGGACTAACAACTTACCCTCCTACCTCAAACAGCTATGAAAGCAGGCAAAATATATGAAACAACAGTTTTCAGACAACAAACAGGCCCAAATGAATCAGGTTGTGGAAATAAAAGGCACTTTGGCGAATTTCCTCTTAAACAAACAAAATATTCTAATGCGTGTGTGATAAATGTGACTTGATCAGTACGTTTATAAAATCCTTAAGGCCTAATAGCAGACGGAGACACACTCAGAAGGAAGCAAGAGGTGGAACCTGAGTTGAAAAGGTTTCCAGGTACGTGGGGTGGCAAGGGTGAAAGCGATGGGGAAGGGCAGAGGAGAGACGGGTCCCAGCCACTCTGGTGCTCGGCCGCTGTGACCATCAGCAGCATCTAGAGCAGAAAGGAAAGTGGATCCACACTCTGACCTTTATACCAAGAGAAAAGCGCAAGCAGATCAAACACCTAAACCTCAAAAATGAAATGATACAATACTGGACAAAAACCTTAGTAGAACAAAGATCTTTATAGCTATTCCCAAAAATCTATAGGACATAAAAAAGACTGACAATTTCATCTGCGAAAACATCAAAAATTTTTATATACAAAAAAAAGCCACGTGCAAAGTCCAAAGACAAAGAAGTGAGAAAAAAATATTTGCATTTTATTTCACACAAAGGACTACTGGCCCCAATTTAGAAAATATTCCTACATATTGATAAGACTGACATCCAAATGGAAAAATGGGTCAAGAAAATGAGAATGTACATAAAAATAAAAATAAAAATCCGACACTCTGACAGCACACTCTATTAGCAATAACAGAGGAAACCAGGTCCTCTGCAATGGCCAAGAAGACTATATATTGACACAAAAGCTATGAAGGACTACTCAGCAGTATTTGTTAGAATATAAAAAAGCATGTTCCCTTTGACCTAGTGATTGCACTTACGAGTTATCGGACAATCATACCTGCCCACGTGCAATATGACATACGTATGAACAAGGCTATTCCCTGCCACATTCCGTAGTTATGGAACACGGGGAACCTAAATGTTCACCAATAAGGAACTGATTAAATAAATCACAGTATATTCACACAGCAGAAGATAAAGAGAAAGTTCTTTATATACTTATATGGAAAGATCTTGAACATACACTATTTGGTTAAAAAAGCAAGAGGCTCAGGGGCATGTGGGTGACTCAGTCAGTTGAGCCTCCGACTCTTGGTTTTGGCTCAGGTCATGGTCTCAGGGTCCTGGGATCGAAACCCACACTAGGCTCAATGCTCGTCGTGGAGTCTGCTTGAGATTCTCTTTCCTTCTCCCTCTACCCCTCCCCCTGCTCACACACTCACTCTAAATAAATAAATAAATAAATAAAATCTTTTAAATACATATATACATACACATATAAATTTTTTTAAAAAGCAAGAGGCTCAACAGTGTGTTGAGAAGCAAGCAAGCAGCTCAACCTGCTTAGGGGACAGGGCTGGAGGAACTAGGGGGTGGCTGGGAAGGAAACTAAGCTTTCTGATACTTGAACCATATGAATGTATTATCTATCAAAGAATTAAATATGTCTTCTAAGCATATCCTCGAAAATTCCTCTCAAGTTTATTTCTCCTTCAGAGACATCCTGCTAAGGAGTGAAAGTATGACCGTCTCTGGGTGGGACATCATCTGGTGGCCCTGGCAACTCAGTGGAGAACTCGGATATGTTTCATCTTACCGAAAGCTATTTCTGGGCAGACATATTTAAATTACTACTAATAAAATAGCAAATACTGTATCCTGTTTACTGTGAGCCAAGCACCATCTAAGGAACAGCTTAGTACATAAAACATGGTGTGTGTTTTTCTTCAAAGCATTCATCTGGCACATTATACATTGGGGGGGGTGGTTCATGATCTGTCTCTCACCAAAACGTAATGTCTGAATTTTCAATCTCCAGTGCCACGAACAGTACCTGGCACACTTCAAACACTCAATCCGTGATCAGTGACTTAATTAGTTTATGGTTAAAGTGAGCATTTGTAAGTTTTCTGAGTTTCCTACAAGCCTGTGCAGAGTAGGAGTGGTTTCTACCTTAGGAGTTCTCCAAGATAAAAGGGCATCGGATCCTCAGGAAAAGGGCAATTTTTTCCTTGCACGGAGCCCAAAGTCCCTCCTCCTGTGCCACACGGGACAGCCCTCTCCACAGTGTCCTCGTGGCAGACCCGAAATAAGTCACAACAAAGCTGCTTCGGCACTGCTCCTCAGTGTGAGCCAGGCCCCGAACCAGGGAGATACACATGGGAACTCGGATCAGCAGATCAACCCAGGAAAAACTTTGATGTGTGCCTACAGAGAGGCACAGATGGACTGTTCATTTTTCAGAGTTTTTGAGTTACTCA